TGGAAGTAATTTTCCATTACTATCGAAAAAGGCAAATTTAGGAGAATATTCTTCTTTATTAAATGGTTCCATATGATAATATACATCAGTTTCATCTAAAGCACAAAGAATAAACCTTTTAGCTAATGCCTTAAATCGAGGGTGTTGATCAAACACTTGATAATATGTACCACATTGTTCACATTCCAATCCACCAAAGAAAGCTAAGATTGGAAGTTTTCTTCTTTGAGCTGCTTCAAGAGCTTCTTCATATGAGTACCACCTTAATTCTCCCATATATGGTTCCCATTTTTTGTCGTAAGCAAAAGATAAAGTGAGAAATGGAATAATTAAGATATAACTGTACATAGTTTGGTTAAACAGTTTATTCAAGTTCATTATAACGTTCATTTGGCTCCACGTCATTTATCATCAGAGCATTTCATCTGAAATTTTGTTTTTTTATAAAAAATAACAAAAACAAAAAAAAAACAAATAAATTTTTTTATTTTATTCACTATTTTCTTCTTTACTATTTTGTTTTACTAACTTTTGTTCTTCTTCATCAAAACACTCACTGTTTAATTCCCAATGCATTCCATCTCCTTGGGTAGTATAAATAGGTAACAACGCAGTCAAAATATTAGTTCCAAACATTAATTGAAGATTTTTGATATTACCTAAATCATATGGATTATCTTGTCTTGTTTGTTTAGTACTACAACAAGAGAAATAATCACGTTCTATAGTTGTAGAATTTGTTAAAGCAATTGGTATCTGAACTGTGATCATAGAAAATGCTGATAGTCCAAATGCAATTCCTACAAGTAAATGAACTAAGTGAATAGTTCCAGAAACAGTAAATGATTTATTCTGAAGATAGTCTAACACGCTAAATAAAGTAGAAAAAACTGTTACAATACAACAAGTCAATCCAGCATAACAGAGGAAGAGAATAAAGAATTTGTGATTCTTAAATCCAACACAGGTACCTAGCCAGGGGCAATGATGATCCATTTTTAATACACAAGCTTGACATTGACTGCAATGATGACATCTTATAGGCTTTCGGTGATGACAACGTTTACAAATTTTAAAATCAGTATTCTATTGACATAAATAAAAGGTCAAAGGTATAAGAAAAAAACAAACAGTGTCAATATCATTTGGTAACCAAACATCTGTAAATACAGTTCGATAGTATGACCAGATTGTTAAAACTATGTTAGGAACATATAAGAAGAAATAAAAAACAAGAAAACAATAACTGTTATTTATTATACAAAGTATTTCTTCAGAGCAAAACAATGAAATAGTAGTGAAGAAAATGAGTGTTGTAAATGAAACAGCTAAGAAACGATATTTTTTGTATTGAAAATGTTTTGGTATAAAATCACTTCCCATAACTAAATATTTTAAGTTCTTATAAACCTTGAACCAAAACTTAAAAAAAAACGTTGGTTTCAGTTCAATTAAATAATGCTGTAATGAAAGTTAAAATAAATTCAATTATTCGATATAAGGTATTAAATCAACTAATAACTTGTATTGAAAGTCAGGATCTTCTTCAAAAAATAATAAAGTTACATCTTTATGAATAACAGGATATTCTAATTGAGCATATACTTTACTTGTAATCCAATCTTTAATATCATCAAATTTACGTCCATTATCATATAATATAATTGCATTCTCTTTTCCTTCTACTAATGCCATCCAATAAGGAGAACCCATTTTAGGATATACTGCAATTTCACTTGTTTTAATTTGGTCCTTAATACTTATAATGAATCCTTCTTCATCCATAAGGATACGTTCATCAATATCAATAAAGAAAGTTTCTTTTAATATTAATGTAGCTTGAAAATATGAAAGTTTACCTTTCCAACCTCTAGGAGTAGTAATAGAGTCAAGTGTATATTTTGATGATGCGTATAATTTTCTTAGAGAAAATAGTGATAAAGGATTAATTAATGGAATTTTTTTCATTACCATACAATATTTTACTTTCTTACCAAATAAATCAAATTCTTCTTCTTCTCTTTTTACTTTTGCTAAAAATTTCTTTGAATATCCTTCTTCACTAGATATATAAAGTACATTATTTGGATCAGTTGACATTACAACAAAATCAACAGTATAATCATCATTATATTTAATTGCAAAGAATGATCCATCCAATCCATCATTTTTAAGAGATTTAATAACCGTTCTTTTTTTTGTATCAATTTCAATATCAGTGATACCTCTTTCAGTAATTATTCTTTTAATTTTGTTTAAAGTGAATATTTTACCAAAAGAAAAAAAGATTTCTGTTGGAAGTTGAAGGTTTTGTCGTTGGTCTTTATATTTTTCTGATAATGTTAAAGGAGCTGGACTATCAACGAATGATTGTCCAAATTCTGATAAATTAACTTCTATCTTTCCAATATAATCATTTTCACTTAATTTGTCATAATCAAACAATTCAACTAACACTGTTTCTTTTGTTAAATGATGTAAAATAAATCGTGAATTCCAAATTGGATTATAATTATTCATTACTGCTTTTGTTTGACATGAACGTTCTACACTTTCACATTCTTCATTTCTTTTTTCTTTTTCTTCAATTTCTTTCAACCTTTTTTTATATTCATCTTTTGAATTACTTTTATTTTTCTTTTTCAAGCTTGTTTTTGAAACTGAAAAATTTAATACAATAAATCCATCAATACGTCCTCCAATATCTGCTTTTGGTAAATTTTCACCTTTTTCAACAACAATATCATAAAGATAATCTTTTGGATTTAGTTCTTTACTTGTTTCATTACCACTTGGGGAAGAGGAGTTACTTTGCATTAACACTAATAAAAATTGAATTTACAGATGAAGTTAATCTTTTGATTGAATAGAAAAATTTATTTATTTAAAATTCTTAAAAATTTTCAAAATAAAAAAAAAAATTGAAATGAAAAAATAATTTATTTTATTGATTTGATGTTAAATTTTGTTGGTCAAAATATGTTTGGTCTAAATAATACATCGAATAAAGTTGTTGAATTTTTTCATCACATTTATTCATTCTTTCATCCAATTCAATTGTTTTTTGTTTTAGTTCAGTTAAATTATTTTGGTTTTTAATTATTACGTTGTTAACTTCAGTTGACATAAATGAGTTTTCAAAATGAATTATAAGTTTCCTTTTTTTTATTAGCACCTTTTTAAGTTCCTTTATTATACCAATTTGATAAAGTTATTATCTTTTATTATATAACCATCTACATCAACTACTTCATGGTTTATATCATTAATCCATGGAATATCAATTGAAGAATATTTTGTCGATTGTTTAATGTCATATGGTAATGGAAATCTAGTTAATGTGAAATTGTCAATGAATAACATTCCCATTTCATAGTTATTTATTTCTAATGATGAATTTGTTGGTTTTCCCCAAGCAGCACCAGAAATATTTGAAGACGTTAAAATACCATATTTAGGAATGTCTTCTTCATAAATGACATATGTCTACTAGTAAATAAAAGCAATATTAATAAATTAAATAAATTTATAACAAACTTTAATGTGAGGTTGAATAAGATGTCTTGGAAATGGAGGAAGAAATTTATAAAAGTAATTTTCCCATGTTTTTACAAAATTACTTCGTAGAAAGAATGAACAACTTCCATGATACCCTGTTTCACTCGTACGAATAAAATCTTCTGTTGGCCATATAATCTGAAACTTTGATTCAGGTTGGTTTGTTAAACAGAGTGAAAGTTCTCTTCTATATTGGTTAGTAAAAAGTCCTAAAGAAGATGCTTGTGCAGCGATAGTACAATGGTTATTAAATTGAACATGAAGTTTATTATTAAGAATGTCATATACTTGTTTCATTCCATATTTATTTAAGTCATTCCCTTTATGAATCCCTGGAATTGATAGTAATAGCCACCCATCAATAGTAGAATAGTCAAAGTCAGAAAGATATGAAATAGTGACATTAACCGAAGTGAAATAACTTTGTAATGTTGTTAAGAAATGGGTTCCTTTTTCGTTGAGAATTGTTGATGATTCAGAAGGTTTAAAATCTTTGATATATATTCCTTGAGACTTGAGATTATAGTCAAGTGGAATAAGGTTTGCTGTTGACAAAACAAAACGGAGACCACCTTCATATAATATTATCATAATTTTGACGTGATGACACCCTTTTTTTAAAGGAACACTAAATGTTTCGAAGTCTTTATATTCTTGAATAAGCAACTGGTCAAAATAATTGAGAGTTCCATTATGAATGAATTGAACAGGAATTTTTGTTAAGATTGGTAATTCATCAAATAACCATTGAAGGTCAAAAACAAATGTAGTAAGAGTTACTGAATATATTTCTCCCTAATAAATAGTTAATAGTTAAATTTAAAATACACTTAATAAAAAAAACATACTGGAGTATTAAAAATGTCATGTAATGAAATTGTATCTTTTTCCTTCATTAAAGAAGGAGTTAATTCTAATTTATTCAAATGAAAGAATTTCTCAGACATTAAATAAAAAAAATAAGATTGACTTAAAAAATATTTTAATTCGGGGAAATTACTTGATCTAACTCAAATAACCATTTAGTGAATTAACTACATTTAGCTTTTGGATAATTCGGTCCAACCTTCTAATTTTCCCTTAATCCTAAGCTTAACGCAATTATTATTTCCTTAATATCAAGACATTAATAAATAATAAATAACATTGAAAATTATGGTAATTTATTGAGAAGAAGTAATAAAAATATTAAATAATATCTTTACTAATTAAATTATTATAATTTATAATAATTTAATCTTCAATGAGAAAAAAAAAAAAAAGAAAGTTCTAAAGAATAATTTAGAAGTTCTTTAAGGAGCAATAACAGGTAAAAACAAAGAAAGAAGTTTGTTTATGAGATTTTTTCTTATCATGTTATTCTTTTCTTAGATGAAAGGGTAGAAAGAGAATTTATAACGTTTCTCTTATGTGAGATCTTTATTCTTAGAAAGATCAAAAACATGTCTAACACAAGTTATAGTAGTTCTGGTAATATTTCCGACGCAGTTAAAAGAGAATTTGAAAGTAAAGCAAAAGCCATTATTGAGAAGAGAGTTAAGCAACTCAATTTATTGCTCTGTAAATACTCATGCTTTCCAAACCTTAAAAGTCAATTTATGTACTTAAAAGAACAATTGGTCAATGCTTCTCATTACAAAGAATGTATGTCAGAAGAAGAAATGGAAAAAACTCTTCAGATGCTCCATAGAGTTGTAACAAATATGTCTACAAAAGAAGTAGAAAAAGGTTATACAAAGCATGAAGGAATTAGATATGAGTTAAAACAATTTGACCGGGAGCCTATTCGTTCATTTGGGAGAATTAAAAAGATTACTGCTAAAGAATTAAATTCAAGAAATACAAAATAATTATGATATGTATTTATTTCTTTAAATGATATTTTTATCAATTTAAAAAAGTCTAAAAATACTACAATAGTCTTGAATTTAAAAATCGTTCAATAACATAATTAATAAAATAATGTTTTCAGTTTTTATTTGTTGATGATTCGTTCAAATTCTTTTTACTTTTTGAAAGAATTCTGAAAAGCTCAATAAATTGTTTACTTAATAAACTATCAAAAAATACAAAGAAAACTTGAAAAAAAATAAGTCTTTCTTTATTAGACATGGCTTGTATATGCCCCATTGAAGATGGTATTGAGGCAATTGAGATTTTTAGAAAATATACTCATAATTGTTTTTATGATGGTCTTGATGTTACTTCATATATATTTGGACTAATTAATATTGGTTTCTGGATGTGTGCTCAATTTCCCCAATTGTATAAAACCTTTAAAACTAAAAAGCCTGAATCATTATCAATAACATTTCTTGTAATGTGGTTAGGTGGTGATATAACAAATTTATTAGGTTGTATTTTTACAGACCAAACACAAGTACAATTATTAACCTCTGTTTATTTTGTTTTAATTGATATTATTATGCTGTCTCAATACGCATGGTATTTATTAATATGTAGAAAGAAATATCGTTTGTTTTTTTTTTATTTAGACAATATTCTTTTATTTTCTGATATTTAAACTAACTTTTTATAGATAAAGAGGATTATCAAATTCTTAGTTCTGACTCATCAATCGCAACTCCTCCAGATAATATTTCGGATGATACATTAATTAGTGAAGAAGATTTAAATGATAATTATAGTCAAGTTAGTAATAGTAGATTTGTTATTGTGTTAATGACACTTTTATGTGTTTTTGCACAAGAATATTTTATGAATAGTTTAGATGAATCAGATGACCTTCCTTATTGTGGAGAAAAGGATTATTCTCTCTTAGAACGGATAATAGGGGATGTTTCTGCATGGGTTTCAGGATTATTATATTTCTTTGGAAGAATTCCACAGATAATTCATATTTATAGAACCAAGAATGTTGATGGATTATCTATTTTGTTATTTATAATGGCAACAATAGCCAATATTTTTTATTCATTATCTCTTTTTATTTCTGGTATTGATCTTACTGACCCAACATTTTATGAAGCAAAATTAGCATATATTATTGGTTCATTTTTTGTTATTCCAATGTCTTTAGTTGTTATAGCTCAGTATTATTATTATAAATATATTAAAAATTGGTGGATACATAGAAAAGATGAAAAACAACCCTTGTTAACTGGGATAGATCAGTAGTAATTAATATTTTATTTCTTAATAACTAATAACAAATAAAAAAAGCTCTTAGTTTAGAATTGATTACAAACATATTCTTATTGTTTCCCTATTCCTTTTTTTCTTAAAAATTCTTGAATTTCTGTTAATAACGGCTTGGGTTTGACGAGAAGAGTTTTTGGTTCATTTTTATGTGGTATAGAAATAGTTGTTCCTCGTTTCTTTACATCTGCTTTCTCAACAACACGTTGGATAGTTCCAAAACAGTTATCAATCTTCATTTGTTTCATTTGAGAACGCATTGTTGTAATATCACTCACATTTTCAGGGAAAAGATGTTGAAACTCTTTGATAAGAAAAACAATAATTTCTTTTAATGTTGACTCTTTCTTTAATTGTTCTATTTGAATTTGTTCAGATTTTATTGGTTTTATTGAAAGGGAGTTAATTGAAAATATACATGAATAAAGATTATCTGCTAAAGACTGTTCATTCATTTTGTTTACATCAGATAATGATTCTATTTTACAACACACCTTAAGTAAGGCTGTAAGAAGTGTTATTGATTCTTTACTACATGAATTAATCATCTGTCTAACAGGTTTATTGTGTGTTGAATATTCGTTTGGTTGTCCAAGATTATTCCATTGTTGTATAATTGTATTTGTCAACTCTGAATTAATCAAAGAATTTGGTAATTGTTTTAGGAACATTTTAAGGCATTCACAAACTACATTTGGTGGTAATCCTTCAAAATCTATTTGGTCCATTCTTAATAAAACTTCTTTAGCATAATCCTTTTCTTGACTATTAGCTTTATTCATAATGAATTCTTTTTCACAACATGAATTAATTATATACAAAAAAATACTTTCTATTTGATTTGGTAATTGGTCTTTGGTTTTTTGTTCTTCTTTTAAGATTTCTTTAAGGTCTTTTTTCAAATAACGGTTGTTTTCATTTCTAGATAATTCTCTAATATCATTTAATAATTTTTGTTGTTGTGCATTTGCAACAGCTTTTAGCATATCTCTGTTTGCACTAATTTGAAGGTCACATTCAGAAAACATTCTTTGGAATGATTGTATGATTGAATGAAGATGTAATGGTCCATGACATTGTAACTCACCTCTAATTTTTGATGCGTCTTGTTTTGATTGACTTAGTATAAGAGTATTTAACCTTTCGATAAGATTATGACATTCATGATGGCAAAAACGAAAACGTTCTGAAATAGTTTCAAGTTCATTTGAAATGCATTGTAAACTTTCATTGATATGATTTAAACCAACACTTTCTAATAGATAAATACAGTTAGTTCATTTTTTTAAAGATTATTGTAATAAAATTAACTAAAGAACAAACTTGATAATCCAGGAAGATTAATACAATATATTGAGTCAATATATTCAGCATGACCTTTGATACATTCAGCTAATCCTTCAATGTACTCATAACATTTTTCTTCAAATAATTGTTGATAATACCAAAAAGCTATTTCATTAACAATTTCATAATTAAATATATCCATTGGTTGTTGAATTATAGGATTAAAGAATTGATCTTCAACAACATCTGTTTGATAAATAGTTTCTACTTGTTTAAGTATCATATTAACTATTTCTACTCCATTTTCACCAAGATTATCCTGATTAGAAGATATTACTTTAAATATTTCAATAATTCTTTCATCATAAGCTTGTAAATGTACAGTTTGTTGTCTTTTGCATTTATTATCATTAATTATTGAAGATACTACATTAATTACTGATTCTGCAAATTGTTGAAATCCAATTTTATTAAAAGGTTTTATACTTTCAAAAATCATTAATTTAACATTTTTACTTGTACCTTTCTTTCTTGTTTGTTTTCCACCTAATAATTCCATAAATGTTGATGACACAGCATTCATTACAATAATTTCTTTTGTTCTAGAATCTGTTATATTTTCAAAACCATATTGATTTTTTAAATATTGTCGTACGTTTTGACCATATACTACTGTGTCTTCTATTTTTAAATGAGGAAGTGTTTGATATGATATTTTGGAAGGTGTTTTTACAATAATCTCATTTCCAAGTAATACATACATTCCAATAATCCCAGCATTACTTATCCGTTCTCTATTCATTGACATTCGTTTAACTTCTCGAAGAACATCTTTTGGTCTTTTTTCTATCTTCTTTTGAGATGGCATAATTAATTTTCAAATGGTAATTAATTAATTCATACTTCCTTCTTTTTAACTCTTTTATTTTAATAAAAAAGATAAAAAAAATTCTTGTAATTTTAAAAATGTTATTTCTTCTGAAAAAAAAAATATATTTATAACATTGTCGTTTCACTTTATATTGTTATTCTTTGAAAAGACAAAATATAATTACTTCTTTCAATAAACAAAAATACCTTTCATATGAAAGTTTTCATTCTATTCTATAACTTTTATTTTTAGATTAGTTAGATATATTTATTATTATGAAATAAATTATTTTACTTTAATTATTTAAATAAAGGTAAAAATACCTTGTTATGTTGTTTTGTAAAGATAAAATCTTGGTAATCAAAATTTGATTTTTAGATATTATTTTATCTTTCTACTTTATTGTTTCAGTGCCAAGTTATACTACTGATTTTAATATCTTGCTTTTGTTGTTCTTAGTGAAATTTTTTTTTGATATTTGGTATAATTTCTCTTCCTTTTTTTTTAACAAATTAACTATTCTAATTCATCAACTCACCTATATATTTTGTTTTGTATTTTAAAAGAACTAGAGTGAAAGATCTATGCTGAACTTAGTTCATGGAATTTTGGAAAAAGTACCTAAATAATAAAAATGAGATGTATATGATTTTTAGTGACCCACGATGTGAAGCTAAATCAAAAATTGTTTCGTTCGATTTAGATGGTACTTTGGTTACGGTTTGTTATTCATTTCTTTTTTTTATTTAACTTGTTTTATTGATTGGTTTAGACAAAAACTGGTAAAACTTTTGCCACGTCTTCAGAAGATTGGAAGTGGTTGAATGAAAAAGTAATACCAACACTTCAACAAGAAGTCGAAAGAGATGCAAAGATTGTCATTTTCACTAACCAAAAAGGGATCATGAGTCGTGGTGAAATAAATACCAAAAAGTGTGATGAGTTTTGTCAACGAATAGAACATATCATAAAACAATTAGCGAAGTATGAGATATATGTACAATTGTTTGTTGCAATATCAGATAATATTTATAGAAAACCACTTCCAGGAATGTGGTCCTTATTAGAGAAGAATAATCAGTGTATCAAAATTGATAAGTCAAAGAGTTATTTTATTGGAGATGCTGCAGGAAGAGGAGACCATTGGATGAAAGGAAAAAAGAAAGACTTTAGTTGCAGTGATCGTAAATTTGCAAAAAATGTTGGAATAAAATTTAACACACCTGAAGAATATTTTCTTGGAATGAAACCTTGTGAATTTGAGTGGGACGACATAGACATGAATTCTTTTCCACTAGTCTCTGGAAGAGAAAGGTTAAACCTTTTGAAAATCCAATTCAAAGAGGGTAGGGAAATAATTTTATTTGTTGGATCTCCAGCTTCAGGTAAAACCTCGTTTTATGAGAAATATCTAAAACCAAAGGGGTATGGATGGATCAATATGGATACATTAGGTAATAAAACAAAATGTATGAGAGAAGCAAAGAAATTAATTGAAAATGAGTCATTTGTTATTGATAATTCAAATCCAACTATTGAAGGAAGACAGGAATTTATTGAGTTAGCAAAAAAGAATGATATTCCTATTAGATGTTTTTATTTTGAATGTGATAAAAAATTAACAAACCACTTAAATACTTTTCGGGCATTAACAACAAATAAAAATATTCCAGCAATTGCTATAAATGTATATTATAAAAAATTTGTTCAACCAAGAAAAGAAGAAGGATTTACAGAAATTATAACTATCCCATTTGTAGTTGAAGAAGATTATTTATTAACAAATGATACAAAACAATTATTATATTATTCATATTAAACATTAAGAAAAACATTATTATTAATTTTTCGGAAATTTCTAAATTTTTATGTTTTTTTTTTGGAAGTCTTTAAAACTTGAAAAAACAGATTTAGTGGTGCTTTGGTTAAGACAATGATGAAAGCTCCGTATGCCCATAACTTGGATTATGACTCTCGTCAATTAATTGAACAATTAATGCTTACACCAAATGATAAAAGAACACCGTTAAACCAAATATTCTTTGATGTAGCTGTTGGATTTAATAAAAGAACCGAATATCGAATGTTATGGTTTAGATTTGATATAAGAAAATTATATTTTCTAAGACATGGAGATCCAAGAGAAGAACTTTTATTCTCATCTTTTTCATTTGTTACATTAGAAGATAATAATTCGAAGATTAAATTAATTGTAACTGATTTTGTAGAGAATCCAAAAACATACTTTATTATTACTCAATCACAGAGCGATACATTACAAATTTTTCAATTACTCCGAGGTATTTCTACACGTCCTACTATGTTATTTTTTGAACAAGATTTTTATCAAGACTATGTTAATAAAAAAAGAACTGTTGCTTGTAAAAAAAGAGGTCAAACTGCATGGGCAAGAAGAGATATGATTATATTTAATGGATTATTTGTATTATATGGAGAAACAGGAAGAATTCCACTTACTATGTGTCCTATGTGTGATAAAGTTAACATTATGAGACACCCAAGAAATGTTTTGGAAATTACTACATCAATAAGAAGAATATTATTACATTTTGATAGTGATATAGATATGAATGATACATACGAATGTTTATTGACTTGTGATCAATATATTCGTCAACCCATAATGTTTCCTGTAAAAGATTTCTTTACAGGTAAATTAGGAGATTTACACCAAAGCTGTAGAGAGGTTTGTATTAAAAATATGTTGTATCCAGAAGAGTGTTTTGATAATTTTCCTGTTCTTTGTGAAATACTTCGTGCAGTTACAAAAAAAAGATGTGTTACTGTTGGAGATCGTAAAACAACAAAAAAAGAAGAAGAAGAACTTACAAGAAGACCACCACCTCCTCCTCAAGTTCCATTACAAGAAGATGATTTAGGACAATATTGTATTAAAGAAGATCCTAAGAAGTATTATAGTAATTTTGTTTCAGTAGGTAAAGGTGGATTTGGAGAAGTGTTCAAAGCAACAAGAAAAGAAGATGGAGCTGCTGTAGCTTTAAAAGTACTTCGTCATAGTGTTGATGAAAGATATGCAAAGATAGGGTGTGAAGTTGCAAGAATGAAATTGTGGGATCATCCTAATTTAATTAAAACAATTGGATGTTTTTTATATGACCATAAAGTATACATTGGAATGGAATTTTGTTCTGGAGGAACATTAAAGTCAATGTTAAAGCCAAGGAATCAAGGGTTATCATTTAGTGAAATTGCTTATATTCTTAAACAATCATTACAGGGAATTGCTTATATTCACCAAACAGGATTTATTCATAGAGATATAAAAACTGCAAATATTTTAATGGATGACCATTACTGTGTTAAAGTGATTGATTTTGGTTTAGTAGTTAGAAAGTCATCACAACCACAAAACCGTGCTGGTTCAAAATCGTATATGGCACCAGAAGTTATTAAACAAATACCTTATGACGAAAAAGTTGATATTTGGAGTATTGGATGTGTTGCACAAGAATTACTTGAATCCCAGCCACCTTACAAAGAACATGGTGTTATTAAAGGAATGTTTAAAACAGCTGCATTTGGAGCACAATATCTTAGAGATGAAACAAAAGCAATCGAACCATTTGTAGATTTTGTTAATAAATGTTTTGCTTATGACCCAAGAGATAGACCTTCATGTGATGAATTATTAACACATAAATTCTTACAGTATGCTCAACAATCAAATTATATGAGAAGGTGTTATGAAATTCCTTGAATGTAATGATAATGTTATATTATTTGAAAAACAATCAGTTAATTTAAAAAATTTTATCTCTTGTTTCATTAACAATTTCTTTTATTTATTTCAACTAATCTTAGTTATTAAAAGATTTCTTTCAAAAGTATATGACTGTCATGAAAGAAAGTAAAGAAATAGAAATAAAATAAGATAATATAAAGATATGAAATGAAAAGATTAAAAGAAATATAGAATATCACAGTGATGAATAATAACTAGAAGTAATTAAAACAATAAAGTAATATGTTTAGAAGATAATGAAATAGATGAAATGATGAAAATGAATAATAATGAAATGATGAAATTTTATAAAACATGTTGTAAAAGAAATAGTACAAAAGCATTTAATGAAATATATTAATACATGGAAATTGAATACAATAAATAATCAAATAATAAATAACAAAGTAATTAATTAAATGTTAATAGAATTTTCATTTATTCTTCATTACTCAACGTAAAATAATCACATACCTGAACTTATTTTTTTAAAGAGTAATCTTTTTGTTTAACCTTTCATTTAAGTTTTTCTATTAACATGAGAAAAGCACTTCTTTGCTTTATTTTTTCCTATTAATGTCTTCTCAAATTTCTTCTTTTATTTCTTTTTTAATTCTTTGTTTGTTTTCTGCCTTAATTTCAAATTTTTTCATTTTCCTTTTTTCTTAATTTTATGAAAGAGAGAAAAGACTATTTCATTCCCACTATATTATTGTGTTTAATTTTCTTTTAGTCTTACCCACACTTCAGTACTTCCTTATATTACACCATGTAATATTCTATCATAATATCTTGCTACACCCTTTGCAACATTACCTAATACATTTCTAATTCAAATACACCGTCATAACCAAATAATAACTTGAAAAACTGAAGCATGAACTGTATTAATGTTTGTATGTGGTTTCAAATATTCCATCTTCGATCTTATTCTTACTTATAAAATAAATTATATTAAACAAAATTATAAAATAAATTATTGTTGTTTGACTTATCCTCAAAAATTAGTTTAAGCTTAATAGTGAAATATCTAATGAATCATATTTATCATATTCCATTTCAAACCGTTTAGGGGCAATTGATTCTGTCACATTTTTATTCAATTTTCTATGAGACTTTTTGGTAACTTTCTTTATTTTTGGTCTAGTCATTTTTCCATCATCATCATCATCCTGAACTTCAGTTTGAATATTCTCTTCAATAGAATATCCTTTTTGAATTGAAGAAATAGATGTTGGTTGTGGTGTTTTATCCATTTTTAAATGATTTGGTATCAACTAATTTATTTTTTTTTATGAATGATACTGAAAGAATAAAAATTGTTATTTGTTTTAATGGTGTTATAATACTTGTTAATTCCATATATTTCATATCTTATTTAAAAAAGTAAATTGAAGGTGGTACGTCAAACACACAAATCTTAAAATAAACCAATATTTTGAATTATCAGTTATCGTCTGATTATGGTGTTGCCATTAGTTAAACAACCTCTTATTCAATATTTCAATAATGGCAGTAATTATTATTTATAATGATAGAATATTATTCTATTATAATAGAAGAATAAGTATTTATAAATACAGTAGCATTATTTACTTGTTAGGATGTAGGTATATTTGGTAATATTAGTATTGTCAAAGAAAAAAGATATTCACGTTGTTGATGATAAATGAAATGAGTCATAATAATATGGTAATAAGAGGATAGTCTTTCGTCATAAAATAAGAAAACAAAGAAAGGGGAGTTTTAATATTCATTAAGTTCAAAATAAAAATCAAATAACAAATTATATGAAGAATTATTTAAGTTAGTGGAGTTTAAAAAAACCATTATTTCAATAGAAATAAATTGTAATTGAATTATTTACTTTTCAACAAAATAAAAAACCAAAGAATAGGTGAGTAGTGGATGAATAACATTTTTTAAAGCAGAAGTGAGTGATAAGTCTCAAGTGAGCAATGAACAATATAAAATGAATGTAATAATACTTAATTAATTACTTTTTATTTAAATCCAATTTAAAAAAAAACGATTATTTGATTAATTATAATTACTTTTTCGATTATTGATTTTTCTTAAAAATAAATTATATTATTTTTAGATTTGTGTTGTTTTTAATTTTCTAATTTTATGTTTTTCTACAAATTGATTTACTATTAATAATAGTATTCACATCAAAGTATGTATGAAACTCAAGTGATTTATTAATAAACTTGAATCCCAGTTCTTACCTATAAAAAGTATTTATTCTTAATATAAGAAATATTCTAATAAATAGAAAGAAACTTCATTTTATTTTAGATATGAGAAATGGTTATTTTTTACATAGAAAAATGAGTTAATTTTATCAGAAGTTGATTAAACCTATTGGAAAAAAGATAGAAACTTAATTATATTAACATAAAGTAAGTAAGAGATGATTGAAAAAAATTTGGATATTAACTCAGTAATATTATAATATAATAATTAAATGCAATACTGTGACTATGTCTGAAGACATTTGAGTATAGTGAAATATTTTTGTTAATAATATAATCAAAACACTATTTATGTTGAATAAGATAGAATGTGAGTAATAAACAAAATGCCCAAGTTATTCCAAGAATCAGATAACTTCAAAAAGAGGAAAATATTGTGAATTTCAAATATTTTATATAGCAATGAAATTAGAATAAAAATAAAGGATATTCACAAAAAGAACCATTTAACAACGTTGTTAAAAATAACAATATCTACAAATATAAAATTATTTAGCAATATGTTCTATAGACAGGGTCTTTGAGATGTTCATGGAGAGTCATTTAGTTCTATTTCTTATTTCCATACACAATAATCTAAATATAACTTAGAAGATTTATTCAAACACACATTTTAGATATAAATAACTAGCAGTATGTAATAATGAGGAAAGAAAAGAGATAATCAAAATAAAAGACATAAAAGAGTTGATAATTTAAGTGAACTTTAACAAATAACAAGGAATTATTCTTGAATAGAAAAACAATGACAATGTACATTCTTATTATTAAAAAAGGTTATGTTATTAATATCACTGGATAATAAGAAAAAAAATATAGAAAAAACGTTTGAAGTAACTTATTTGTAAATAAATACTTCATTCTCTCAACTGTATATGTATTAGAATAAATTGTAACAGAATATCTTTGTTTAACTTTCAATTATTTAATAATTTTTTTTTAGGAATACTTCCACTATAAAGAAGAAACATTTAATTGTTGTTTTGTTGAATGTTTTGGAAATAACTAAAAAGAACTGAAAGAACTTTATAAATATATATTTAAAGAGTTGAAAAATGGACAATGAAAGTTTTGAAGGTTCATTTGATGAGTACTGTCAAAACAAAGGTAATAATAAGCCTTATTGTGTTGTATTTGAAAGTGATACTGTTCAAATGAAGAAAGAGTGGGATTTTTCATTTATCCCAACTATCGAATTAACTCTTCGTTTATTTGGGAATTGCCCATATAGTATTATCCTTCCTAAGACATTAGTTAAATTAACTATTGAAATGTGGCATGAAGATGGGCAAGTAATAATTCCACAATTTACTTATCCAGAAACAGGGTTTAAGGAAATAACATTCAGTTCAATACAAAGTAACGACCAAATTGAAGTCACAATTCCACAAACAGTCAATTCAATTTCATTTTTAACTTGTTGTAATATCATTTGTATTAATGAATTCCTTCAAATTAATTCACTTGAAGTAACAGAATCAAATAAATGTTGTGTCCAATCAAAACATTCACAACTAATAATGTCTGATAATGAATTATTTATAAAAAATATTAATGAATTCATTTGTTTTGCTTTGGCTATTGATCATTATCAATCTGATAATGTAAAAATGGCATCTATTACAACGTCAAATCAAGCCATTCATATTGACTCAAAACATATTGATTCTTTAAGTCTTGCTTTTGATGCTTCAGATATTTCTGATACTAATGACATAGAGTCAACTCATATGGACTTAACAGAATTAACGCTCAATTCATTAGAACTTACTGGGTATGAAAACTCTTCATTTGTCCTTCCAAATACATTATCTACTTTAACTCTCTCATACTGTAAATCTCTTTGGTTATCAACACTAACTGGACTTGAAAATGAACTTGATGTATCAACTGAGTGTTGTGAAAAATGTATGTTAAACAATTCTTTATTACCTTCAGATAGTCCGTATTAACATAATAACTAATTAAATACTTCTTAATATGAAATTACTTAAATTCTCTTAACTTTGAATCATCTTTTTACAACGAACAATAATAACCAACATAAATAAACCCATTAAATGTTTATCAACAAAAACCAATTATTCATTCAAACTATGCTTTTAATTCTTTGTTGAGTTATTGACTTCAAACATTTTCTTGAATAAAACAAATATATTGTTTTTTCTTTATTTAATTTAAAAGTCTAACAATATTAAAACATTTGTTGCAATGAAAAGATAAATGTTCTTTTTTATTTTTTCTTATAAATAGACTAAAATTCTTTTTATATATTAAATAATAAATATATTGTCTCAACATCCATACTTTTAATCATTGTTTCTTTTCCATAAATTTACTTTAAGAATAAAAAGTAATTTTAATAACTTATGTTTATTTGTATTGGGTATTTGTATCATAACAACAACCTTATTGTCTCTTTGTACTTGTGCCAGTGTCAATATCTTCTAAAAAAAATTTCATTAACAAATAATCAATACTGTTTATTCTTCAAGTATTTTATCATTCAAAAAGAGCGTTTTTTTGAAATTGAACAAGAAGTTTTGTTTAATAATATTTTTACTAGTCATTCAAACAACTACATCTAATTTATTCTTTACTAAACAAAATTGTTTAATGACTTTCAAATGATAGTATTGAATTTACTTAGGAACATGTAGACGAATTAGAACAACTGTCATTTCTATTTTAATATATCCTTCAAATAAATTCCTTATTTTAATTTTTTAAATAAACTCCATCTCTAACTGGGTAAATTTTTAAGTCTCTTTAGATAATTAACTAATACTTAATTAATTGCTTTTTATTTATATTATTTCTTTTAAGACATAAATAATTTTTAAAAAAAATAAAAAGATGATAAGTATGTAAAAAATCTATAAAAACTATTTAAAATATAGATTTTAAACAAACTTACTAATTATATTTTAGAATTTTTATATTTTTTTAAAATCTTTCTAAAATAGAATAGTTTGAGTCTTGACCATAGGAGAAAAAAAGGAAGAAAAGCCTCAAATAAATACAAAGGAAGACTTTACTTAAACTAAAGATAGATCTTAAAAAAATATTTTGAACAACACTATGAGAAAACAACTGGATGGTTATTCTTTGCTTATTGTAGCACAATTCATTTTACAAGAAGAAGACTTTGCTAAATTAAATTTTATTTGTAAAAAATTCAAAGAAACAACAGAAAAATTTCACTATAATCCTATAGAAAATTTAAAATTATTTCCAAATATTCAAACTCAATACATCTATAGAAAGAAACAAATTTTTAATCCAAATATTCCAAATCATAAAATTTTATATCAAGTAACTTGTAAAGAGGCACAAAAACTTCTTTCTAACCCAACAACAAATTGTTCTTTTGTTGTTTATACAAAAGAAGATCAAAGAAAATGGAAAAATGAAATTCCTAAATGGGTAACAATTATTGGGATAGATGCTTTCTTAAATACAAAATATTCCACTATAAACATTCCTTCTTCTGTTAAAGTTATTCAAAAAAATGCGTTTAGTGGTTGTTTAATCAAATCAATTGACTTTCCACCATTTCTTAAAGAATTACATACAAGTTGTTTTTCTCAATGCATTCATCTTACAAAAGTAATATTACCTATTACAATAACTAATTTAGCTGAAGGATGTTTTAATGGATGTAATCATTTATCATGTATTGTTTTACCAAAAACACTTGAGTCAATACAAGAAAAAGCTTTTTGTGGATGTTCACAATTAAAATCCATTGACTTACCAATGTCTTTAAGTTATATTGGGAATGCTGTTTTTTCAAATTGTTTTAATTTAAGTTCAATTAAACTCCCAACAAAATTAACTTTTATTGGAGCACATTGTTTTGATGATTGTACTTCACTAAAAGAAATTGAATTTCCTCCATTAATTCGTTCATTAAATAAATCGACTTTTTTCGATTGTTCTTCACTTCAAAGTCTAACAATTCCATCAACAATTACGTCTATAGGATATAACTGTTTTTGTAATTGTATTCATATAACATCAATTACAATTTCAACTTCTGTACATGATTTTGGAAAATCTTCTTTTGGTGGATGTTATCAACTGAAACCTTTAATATCTCTTCCAGACCAATGTTATCTTTAAGAAAATCTTTTAGGTATAAGTTTATTGTTTTAATTTATTTTTTAATAAAATAAACATTCTTAAAACCCAAAAATTAATTTGAAAACATCTTCTTTTTTGTTTAAGAAACAAAGAAAATTCTTATTTGATTAAACTTTACTTATTTTATAAATAATTCAAATTTAAGTTCATTAGTAAAAAGTCTTGGAATTTATGAGTTAAAAAAATATTAATCAACAAAATTAGATGCTTCGTTAGATGAATAAATAAACACCCTAATTAAATGTAGGGTGTTGAGATGACTTATTTAAAGAACTGTTAAAAACCTAACCAATTACAAATTGGTATCTAAGATGACTACTATCTTTCCTGAAAATTATTTCCCTTTATTAAATTCTTTTCAAACAGAAATTGCAATTAGAAAAATTAAACAAGAGTTTGAAAAGAATTTAACATATGACTTAGACTTATTGAGAATTACTGCTCCTTTATTTGTTGAATCGGGTTATGGACTAAATGATGATTTAAATGGTGTTGAAGTCCCAGTTCATTTCCCAGTCAAAGGAATGAATAACAGTGTTGTTGAGGTAGTTCATTCTTTAGCTAAATGGAAAAGACTACAATTACATGAATTAAAAATTCCTATTGGAGAAGGTATTGTTACTGATATGAATGCTATTAGACCAATGGAAGATTTAGATAATATTCATTCAATTTATGTTGATCAATGGGATTGGGAAAAATCTATTTCAAAAGAAGATAGAACATTAGACTATCTTAAAAATGTTGTTAAAAAGATTTATCATACTATTTATAAAACTGAAGAGTATATTTGCAATGAATATTCTCAATTAAAAAGAAGATTACCAAAAGAAATTACTTTCTTACATACTGAAGATATGGAAAAAGAATATCCTAATTTATCTCCAAAAGAAAGAGAACATACTGTTGCTAAGAAGTATGGAGCAGTTTGTGTAATTGGAATAGGATATCCATTACCATTATCAAAAGTAACTCATGACGGTAGATCTCCTGATTATGATGATTGGTCAAGTGAAACTAAAGAAGGTTATCATGGACTTAATTGTGATATTATTGTATGGAATGATGTTCTTCAACAAAGTCTTGAATTATCATCTATGGGTATTCGTGTTGATCCAACAGCTCTTAAAAGACAATTAGAAATGAGAAATGCTACAGACAGAGAAAAGTTTATGTTCCATCAAATGTTATTAAAAGGAGAATTACCACTTTCTATTGGTGGTGGAATTGGACAATCACGACTTTGTATGTTCTATTTACAAAAAGCTCACATTGGTGAAATTCAAGCATCTGTATGGAATCATGAGACTAAAGAACAATTGGCTCAACACAATATCTTTTTACTTTAATTTTTTTTAAGAAATAATATTATATTTTCATTAATTTATTAAACAAAAATAATATTTTTCTATTATCTCGTAAAATTTCTCATATTTATTCATTATTAAATCATTGAAAATTTACCAATAATAATGAAATTTACTTTTTAAATTATAAAATATTGTTGTAAAATCTATTTGTGTATGAAACTTACTGAAAAATAAATCATCTGATTTAGTAAATAATGAAATAATATTAGAGATACAAATAAAAGAGTCTGTAGTATGAGATTCACTATAATAAACAAAACATAATTTAATTCTTCCTATATAACTTTCTATACCAAATAGTGAAGAATCTAATTCAAGTCATCCTTCAAATAATATAGAAATTACATTCTTGATTAATCAAATTCCATATAACTAATAGGTTCATCTCCAAAAAATAGATTATTTTCATAAACAAAATCAATAATATTAAACCTAGTTGTTCATACTGAAGTTTTAATACCAAACCAACAAATTATGGTGAAACATTTTTTACTTCTTTTGACTTTTTTTCCAAAGGTTTTTGTTACATAACAATGTACTGATGGAAAGACTTTCTTATTTCTTCCATTCAACTATTCTGCTTCTAAAATTTGAATAATTACTATTATACTAAAATACACCTTGATTAATGCCTGAGGCATACCCTCACTTTTAAAGTGATAAACTCTTTTATTAATATGGCTAATTACAAAAACTTTATTTCTATGTAGTCCAAATTCAAATCCAGGTGATAATAATGTTGATGAATCAAAGAAAGAATAAAGTAAAGGAGAAAACTCTGTAGATATTATTCTAACATTTGTATATAATTTTATACTCTTTAAGAAGTGTTTTGTGAGATTTTCTTGTGAAAAAAAAAATAATATATTTTCATTATTTTTGAGATTTATTGTACTGTATATATTTGTATTTATTTAATAACTCCTTTTTATAATATCATAGACTTATAAAAAATACATATCACGTAACCAATTATTGACTCTCTAGCAACACCAGATTTTTCAAGAATAATTTGGATTTTCGTTAAAAATAGTATCTCTTTCTTTTAATTTTAAGGTTAAATGTTTTTTGTCTCTTACAAAATTTTCAGTTAAATAAAATGGAAATTTTTCATTATTTCTTATTTTTTTTTTATTTATAAAAAATATTTTTAGTTATATATAACACAAATATTTATTGTATTTTAAAACGAAACAATTACAAATTTGATTTATAAAAATTAGGTAGTAATAGAAATTTGTTTGCTATAAAATCACTGCAAAATGGCTTTTTCTAGAAAATGAGGAAATGATAAAACTACAACAAAGGAAAAAAATAAAAATTATAAGATTTTTAAACAAAAGGAGGGAAAATAGAATGATATTTTAGATTAATAAATACAATTAGAAAGTAGTTTAAAAATTAAAAATAATAGTAATTTCTATCATTTGTTAGACTAACAGTTTTTGGTGGTAAATAACAAAGTTACACTCAAATCTCATTAATATATTTCATATGAGCACAACAGTTGAAAGAAGAAAGTCTACACAACTTATGAAGAAATCTTCATCAGAAGCTAAAATCCATAAATCTAAATCTATGGTAAATATTGCTAAACCAGTTGTTATGAGTAAACAAGCTCCAGGAACATTTAAAGAAGATAAATATGATTTGAAAGTTACACCATCAGCACAACAACAATTAAGTTTGAATTTCATTTTTTATTACAAAGAAAATAACGATTTCTAATAAAATAAAACAATTAACTTAGTTTTTAGACAATTTTCATAAAGGAATGGTTTGGGATTATTCATTTAATATTGATGGAACATTACTTGCTACAGCAGGTAAAGATGGTAAAGTTATGGTATGGGAAATCGTTGATGGACTAGTTAAAAAAGAAGTAAAAACAACCTTTACAAAACATACTGGAGAAATAGTTTCTGTAATTTTTATAGACAATAATATTATTTGTTCATCATCTACAACTAAAGAATTGTTTATATGGAATGCAACAAATGGTGAACATATTAAAACTATTTCAATTGATGATGTTTGTCTTTGCCTAAAGTATTGTAAAGAGAATAAACGATTTATTGCTGGTTTACTTAATGGACAAGTATTTTGTTATAATACTGATAAATACGAACAAATTAGAGAGTATAATGTTCATTGTGCTGCAACTGCAGTTGAAATTTATTGTGAAGGAGAAGAAGCTACTGGATATATTGTTGGAACGCTTGAAGGTACTATATTGGCATTATATGATTATGATGATAAAATGCAACTTGTTAAAACATCTTCATTAAAAGAAGATGCCCTTATTTCAAGTATTATTGTAAATGTTAAAGATCGTATTTGTTATGTTACTTATGCAAATAATAAAGTTATTATTTATACTTTAATGGATTTCGATATGATTAGTAGATATAAGGGAATAACAACAAATTGCTCTTCTATTACACCATCTTTAAATAATGATATGACACTTTTGTTTATTGCATCTAAAGAAGGTGGAATTTTTGTATTTCCAAATATGCCAGTTATTTCAAAAAAATCAATTGATATTTTTGGAGTTAAACTTAATCTCTTTGTGACTGACGGAAAACCTATTGTTCACGTATGTTGTATTCCAAAAACATCAAATATTCTTTTAATAGATTGTGAGGGTTCAGCATCTATTTTCACACTCAAATATTAATTGAATTATTACTTTTTTCTTTTAAATTCAAAGTCAAAAATTTGTTAATAAAAAAGAATTGGATTGATTTGACTTCTTTCTTAAATATTTTACTACTTTTTTATTTTACTTCGATTTATGAAGCTAATTTAAAATAAATATTGTCTTATCTTTATTTAAATAATAATATTATAATATTATTGTCATTCATTAACCTAATGATATTGATCTTGGTAATTGTTCTCTTCAACTATTAGTTTCTCTTAATTCTTTTTCTTTATCAAAATAAAAATCAATATTTACTTAACAGAAGTTTATTAAATGCTTTAATTTTTTTTTCTTTCATTAAGATAGTTTAAATCAAATTTATATAAACAAAAACAATTCTATTTTTTTTATTATCATTCTTTTGTTTTATTACTCTATCTAACAAGTTTAACTCATTTAAAGAATTTCAAAGAAGTATAGACAATTATATTTATTTCTTTTTTGAATAAAAAAAGAAGAAAAATATTTCATTTATTAATTCTAATTAATTTTTTATTTCTAGATGCTTCAAAGCATTCTGAACAATATTAATTTGTTCATTCAAATGCATATCAATTAATTTGAATTGTTTTATTCTGTTAATTTGATTCTGTTCTTGAGCATTACTGATTTTTTCATTAACAAGAGGAAGAAAATCTTGAAGTACCTCCAATTCAGAGTGTAAGTATTGAATAGTTTTAGTCCTATTTCCTTCAATAGATGTATTTTTATTTTTTAATTCTAATTTCACTTTATTTACAGACATTGAATAAATAGCAATGTATTTCTCAAAAACATCAAATCGAATTTGTTCTTGAGTAAGAAATATTTCTGTAGGAAGATGATTTAAAACACAAAGCTCTTCATATAATGGTTGTGCTGATTCATTTGAAATAAAAACTTTTGCATCAAAATAATCTAATGGTAGATATTCTTTTGACAATGAAAGAAAATGAATCATTTGATTAATACTACTATCATCTTGATAATTATCACAAATCTCTTCTCCAGGATATATTTCATTAAAATTATATAACTTAATTTGAGAGTCTTTCATTTCTTTTTCTAGACAAGTGTATGGGTTATGTTTAGGTAATATTGGTAATGGATTATAAAATTCACCAAATGAAGTAGTAATGATATGACTATCAACAAAATTAAATAATCCAACAAAACATGGTAAAGAAATATTAATATTTGAATTCATCATAAATGCTTGATAATTCTGAATTCCATCATCTTCAACACAATTAATTTCATCAAAGAAATATACATCTTCAAACTCACTAAAATCATTACTGTAGAATGTCATTGCTTCAATATATTTAAGAATTAATGGAATAAATGGAAATTTTTTTTGTGCATCTTCACTTAATAAATATTCAATGCATTGTAATATAAAACTAGGTTGATTAATTTTAGGATTCTCTTTTTTTATTATTTCAGATGTAAGAATATAATGTTCAGGAATAGAAATAAGAATTTCTCCAGAATGAAGTGTTTTATTTGATATATTCTTTAATACAATATGATGATTTTCATTAATATATTGAATATTTGGATGGAATAAATGAATTTGAGATGCCCATGCATTTAAGTTATCACAGAAATTTTCAAATAAGAAATCATAACATGATATTGTTTCATATTTTAAATCTTTTGAAGTTATTTGATCTCTAATCCTTTTAGTAGCGTTTTGACATAATTTCATTGAATGTTCTATTATATCAACTATACCTTTTTTATATATTAAAGCACATTTTTGATGATAGTTAATTGAAGATGAATGAATACAATCAAAATCTTCCTTTTTGAATTCCATTAAATGTAATAAATGATACAATTGTCTGTTTAACTGTCTTAATGCAGCAAGTTCATTTCTATCTGAAACATAATTTAAATTAATATTTCCTTGAAAATATTGATTTGATTCAATAATCGATAAGTTAACTATTCTAAGAATTCTCATCAATTCTAAAGGAATATCTTCATCAAGTTTTAAAAAGAAGTCAAATGATTTTATCTCTTCTTGTTTAAGAATCTCTTCAATTTCATTGTATTGATTATCATCAACTTCAAAATAAATTCTAAGTAACAAATTATCACAAGGATTATTCTCTTCTACAAACCCATACCCTAATAATAATTTTTCGTTAGATCTAATTCTATAATTATTAAATATTTGTTCACCTGGTTTTACTAATTCTTCATTAGTTTGAAATGAAAATGTTTCTGTTTGTGTATTAGAAATATAAGTTACTTTAGCTTGTGTACAATGATTACTAAAATCACA